CATGTTGATATCAACATCGATCCATCCGTTTTGGTATGTGATAAACAGTTAATCTAGAAAAAAAAATTATTATGGACAAAAATGTTTCTTTTTGTGAGAGAATTTCATGAAAAATGGGTAAAAGCTTGAACGGTAAAAAAACGCATGATGAGAAAAAGCTGTTTGAGTATATATTTTTTGTTGTTCGGTTTATATATATATATATGTATGTATATTATTTTTCACGTTAGTATTACATACATACATGATTTCATTGTACTACGTCGAATAAATTGATTTGAGTAAAACTGAATATCTCCCCTTTGACACTTTTATAAAAATTACAACTGTCAAAAACGCTCACTTCGGTAGCGGTCTTTTCTTGCACTCAGTAAATTGACAAGGAACGGTGGTATCCAGCGTGGAGGAAAAGTCCCCGCGGCTACTTAGCGAACCTGGGCGCTCTGTTGTGTTGGATGCACCCGTTTCATCGAAGCCTAAGCATTTTGATAACAATACATTACAGTCAGGCTCCTTTACTCAACAACAAACTAAATGTAATTTTCTCTGTTGAAATAACATTTGGAATGAAAAAATGCGGTTGTAAAAGCCCCACTAGAAAATCACATTGCATATACACTATGATCCAAGGGATTAGGTTGAACTGCATATTTTATATTTAGTCATCATTATTTTTAGGAAATTTACCAATGAACTGTTTCAATGAGCCTCTGCTAGTTGTTAAATATTTTTCAACCTCAAGCTTCTCCTAACTAGAACTGGTATTTGTCTTTTAGAAACTGTCTTCATTTACTGACTACTTTAACTGGATTAATTACTAAACACATAAAAAGGAATCATATGATTCACGTAGCTGGTGTAATTGCAAATCAACTGTAGATGGTCCTTCTGAGTTAGATTTTTATTCCTTAACAGACATTTAAAATCAGTTTTTCTGTTTGTTTGAGGTTAAGCACGAAGCTACACTATGCGCTAACTGTGCTCTGCCCATCACGGGTATCGAAACATACCGTTGTGCCACTGGGGTCTAGTTTTCTGTCTTATTGGAAAGTACCAGGAATCAATTAATTTTCATACATGAACATGTTTTATGAACCGTTATTTCATGCAGTAACATGTGTTACCAGTCAGTTTTTCTTCAGACTTTAGCGTGTCTTACGAGACAGCCGTTTTTTAACCGATTTAGACAGAGCCAGATCATCAGATCCACAGAAGTTAGCGAGGTGCCATTTTGCTAAGTATCAAACAGAAAACAAGTAACAGCGAAAAACTTTATTAACCTTAGTTTGGGAACTGGTATAGAGGAACAAAATAAAAATTTACATCAACAACCACCCTACAATAATATATATATGCACTGAATGCTTTGTCGTTTCGGCTCCTCTTAACAGACTTAAACAGAACAAATGCATACATAAAGTAAGTGGCGACATCTTTGTTTCCAGATATAAGTATATATATCTTATATTGTCTAAAATGTCCAAAATTAAGTGTCAAATGCTATTGTTCATTACCATTTACAGCTCATTTTTAAAGAAGTTTAGATCAAACTAGTTACATTAATATATTCTTGTGATCACAAATTATCTCCAAAAGTGGAAAACTGTCATATAAACACCTCATTGAAGCATGAAATCGATTTAGAAAAGAAAAAAAAAAACAAGTGTAAAAAAGGCCTAACTCGCTTTTGGTTTACTTTTCATGTTCTGCTGTCGTTCATCTATACGGATCTTTAGAAGGGTTATATATATATATATATATTATAATAAACAGCCACTCAAATAATATATATCATTAATAGAATTTATAAAATAAAATTACATAGTTCGAAAACATTAAGCTCTTTCCTTATCGTTGTTGTTTGTTGAGCTATAAATGATATTTGAATTCGACCATAAAATGAACAGAGGGGTTGAAAATCGATATTACCAAAGCAAATCAATACTTTAAACGTGAAAAGTAAGTTATATTTTAAAAATCTTGATAATATTTCGTTTTTTTCAACTGACATTTCAAATAAAAGTTTTATTATAAAACCCAGGTTTAACTAAAGCAAAACAACACAACGTTGTTAGTCAATTGTTTGAAAACTTAATGCGTCACAATGTACAAAGACACAGATAGTGTAAATTTTTACTGGTAGACCTTTCAGACCGTCCTCCCAATTTATATATATATATATATATATATATATATACCTTATATATATACACCTCTTTCCTAAATGTGTTAAAAAACAAAACACACACACGCTTTTAA